TCCCCCCCCCCGGTCACAATGACGCGTGTAGAGATGGCAGGGGGGGGGGGCGATTAAACGATGTTCTTAAGTTTGTCTCTCATGCTCAGGGGCGTCTGCACAAGGTTGGGGGAGGGGGGGATATAGAAACAGTTCCTTCTATCAGTACTCACGTAGCAATATAATATGTCCTCCAGGTCCGGTGTCCTCTCCACTACTATTTCATACTCACCTAGCAATAGAATATGTCCTCCAGGTCCGGTGTCCGGTCCACTATCATTTCATACTCACCTAGCAATAGAATATGTCCTCCAGGTCCGGTGTCCGGTCCACTATCATTTCATACTCACGTAGCAATAGAATATGTCCTCCAGGTCCGGTCCACTATCATTTCATACTCACCTAGCAATAGAATATGTCCTCCAGGTCCGGTGTTCTCTCCAATATCATTTCATACTCACGTAGCAATAGAATATGTCCTCCAGGTCCGGTCCACTATCATTTCATAGTCACCTAGCAATAGAATATGTCCTCCAGGTCCGGTGTCCGGTCCACTATCATTTCATACTCACGTATCGATAGAATATGTCCTCCAGGTCCGGTGTCCGGTCCACTATCATTTCATACTCACCTAGCAATAGAATATGTCCTCCAGGTCCGGTGTCCGGTCCACTATCATTTCATACTCACCTAGCAATAGAATATGTCCTCCAGGTCCGGTGTCCGGTCCAGTATACTTTCATACTCACGTAGCGATAGAATATGTCATCCAGGTCCGGTGTCCTCTCCCCTATCATTTCATACTCACGTATCGATAGAATATGTCCTCCAGGTCNATGTCCTCCACGTCCGGTGTCCGGTCCACTATCATTCCATACTCACCTAGCAATAGAATATGTCCTCCAGGTCCGGTGTCCGGTCCACTATCATTTCATACTCACTTATCGATAGAATATGTCCTCCAGGTCCGGTGTCCGGTCCACTATCATTTCATACTCACCTAGCAATAGAATATGTCCTCCAGGTCCGGTGTCCGGTCCACTATCATTTCATACTCACGTAGCGATAGAATATGTCATCCAGGTCCGGTGTCCTCTCCCCTATCATTTCATACTCACGTATCGATAGAATATGTCCTCCAGGTCCGGTGTCCGGTCCACTATCATTTCATACACGCCCCCGATCTTCGTGAGCTTCATGTAGGCGCTCAGGTGATTCCATATCGACCCGTCCACCACTCCTCCCCGCTCCAGAGTGAAGTCCCACTCCTCCTTGCCCGTGACGTTGATGGTGAAGATGGTTGTGCCTGAAGACAGTGTCACCAAACGGTCGTGGTCACTCCACGGCTTATCATTAGAACCATTTATTTCTAGATTAGACTTAGACTTTTCTCATTCAAAATGAATGGTGAACAGTGGCGTAGCTAGGGTTAGTGTCAGCCGGGGGCAGACCGGCCCCCATTGTCTACGCCAGTGATGGTGAGGTTGGATAGGTTTGACTTGTGAATTCAAACAATCAAGGCCTTAAGCGGGTGACCCATCCATAAAGTACGCCACGCTGTTTTCGGACAATCCCCCCCCCCCCCCGCACTCCAGAGGTGGTACACTAAGACAGACTCAAGGTGCCTTTAAAGTGGACGCAGTAGTCCGGCAAGGATGTCTCTTGTCCCCCTTTATTTTCATCGATCCCATTGACTGGATAATCAAAGAATACTCATACAAAAAGAGGAACGGGATACAGGGGACACCCTGGGAACAAATGAATGACTTACACTTTGCGGATGATATTGCATTTCTGTCTCACAACCAGCAAGAAATGCAGGAAAAGACAAAAGACGTAGCCACCATTTTAGCACAGCTCGGACTTAATATTAAAAAAGCCCAAAAAACACAAGATTATGAAGGTAAACTCGGCCAACCAGGAAAGGCGCTGACAGAAGTGGAGGCCTTCACATTCTTAGGCAGCACCATTGACTTAAATGGTAGATATGAAACTGATGTTAGGACTATTGGAAAGGCTGGGTCAGCTTTTGTGTTATTAAAGAAAACATGGGAGTCAAAGGAGCTGACTGCAAACCAAAGTCAGAATTGTCAACGCAAGTGTCATAACACTCCTATTCTGGAGAGCCGAAACGCGAAGAACAACAGCGAGCATCATGTGGAAAGTACAAACCTTAATAAACACGTGCCTTCGAAAGATCCTGAACATCAAATGGCCAAACACCATAACCAACAAAGGCTTTCTGACTGGAAAGGACATACCAAGAACCTAACGCTGAATACATCATAAGGAAAATATGGATTTGGATAGGGCACACTCTTCGTAAACCCCCGACGCCATCACCAGACAATCCCTAACATGGAATTCCACATGGGAAAAGAAAGAGAGGAATGGCCTACGAATACACAGACAAAGAAAGACAGGAAGGCCTACGAATACACGGAGACGCCATCTAGAGGCAGACACACAGAGTACGGGCTACACGTGGAAGCAACTGGAAATGAAAGCACGTGATCGAGAAGAGTGGACAACCCTTGTAGACGGCATATGCCCCAGGCGGGGTAAAAGGTTTAACTTTTTACGCTGGAAAACAAAACAAAAAACAACAACAACCTGCTGCAGTCTTTAAAAAAAGGTTGTCGCAACATTACTTTAGGACATCAATAGTACACATTTAGGACATCAATAGTACACATTTAGGACATCAATAGTACACATTTAGGACATCAATAGTACACATTTATGACATCAATAGTACACATTTAGGACATCAATAGTACACATTTAGGACATCAATAGTACACATTTAGGACATCAATAGTACACATTTAGGACATCAATAGTACACATTTAGGACATCAATAGTACACATTTAGGACATCAATAGTACACATTTAGGACATCAATAGTACACATTTAGGACATCAATAGTACACATTTAGGACATCAATAGTACACATTTAGGACATCAATAGTACACATTTAGGACATCAATAGTACACAACACCGTACTCGGCTGCTGTAACCCTTCAATACCATCAATAGTACACAACACCGTACTCGGCTGCTGTAACCCTTCAATACCATCAATAGTACACAACACCGTACTCGGCTGCTGTAACCCTTCAATACCATCAATAGTACACAACACCGTACTCGGCTGCTGTAACCCTTTAATACTTAAGCGGCACTCACCTGGTGTGACGGTCTCCAGTACTTGAATGGTGTTGTTGGTGGTGAAATTGAGTGGGTCACACGTATCCAGAGCTGCACAATGGCATCAGATCAATGGTAAAAGCCGGAGACAAAATACTTTTAAAAAAAATTTAAAAACTATTTCTTCCATTATTAACAAGCTGTATTTTGCAGAAAAATCCCAAATTCATATCTAAATGAAATATAAATGGTAATTGTTTTTTCTTATATGTTAATATAGAGTGAAACATAATCTAAAAGGTGCCGCTTAGTTGGTAATAAACTAGTCTATATGTTATTGGATCAAGTTAAATAGTTGACCGACTGCAGCTGCATCCAGGCTTGTAAGACATGGTAAATCCTGCAAGGAGAAACTAACCGATAATGCAGTATCATAACAATTACCTTTGTTGCCACAAATGCAGAAGGAAGGGCAGGTCCCCTCGGAGCAATACTTGTGACATTGTAGATTCAGCGCCTGGTCATTAGACTTGGAGTGGCACTGCTCTGAGCATGAGACGTCCGAGAAGACGTATACGATCAGGCAGACGAGCCCAAGGCCATTTACCATCGTGGTCTATGTGGTGTCCATAGGAAGATAAATGTAGATCAATTGAGCGAAAGATGGCTGACTTCCGGTTTAGGACACACACCACTACAGGATTCAAGATGGCCGGCTTCCTTCTAGGCCTTACACGTTGGAGGATGGTACATTAAAATTACTCTTGGTGTACGTGATGTAGGTCTCAACATTGTGTACTTATCAAAACTCTAATATCACCTTGAATTGTTGAGCTCCAGTTCAAAATTAGATAGAAATATTAAAGCAGAAAAATAATTTTAAAAAGCGAAAATCGTACTCGCTGTATTCGATCTATTCTCCGACAAACTCATTCTTCAGCACAAATGTATTTCCGGTCTAAGACTTTTGACTTGCGCACCAAACGATTGCACGTTTAATGTGAACAAATCTGACAGCACACACAGTATGTGGTGTGGAGAATACTAGAGAACGAAAGTTGTTAACAGGCAAGAAGGAAAAGTTAGCATTGTATTTCTATTGGCATTGACTGTTGATGTTTGTCTTTGCAGTTGTCTAATTACGTGCTTAAAAAATGACAGCGAGGAAAAATTTTATGAAATTTCTAGAAGTCAAGGCGTGTCTATTCGTAGAGTCAAGGCTCGTCTATTCGTAGAGTCAAGGCTCGCCTATTCGTAGAGTCAATGCTCGTATATTCGTATAGTCAAGACTTGTCTACAATTAATATTATTGTGTACATTGAAAATAGTATTTAAAGGATGAATTCTGAATATAAAACAGGGAACCGATTCAACAAAGGAGATTTACGAAGTGGTTTGCCTTTCAGCAGAGATGGGATTACCCTGGACGTGTCAAGGATATCCAACGAAAGTCAGAAGCAGGCCAGTCAAGACAGGCCCAGTCAAGACAGACCCAGTCAAGACAAAGACTTACAGCTTTATGGTAATAACATCGCGACGATCGCTAACACGTCTGATATCTCGGTCCTGCGTGATAAACAGGAACTAGACTTCTGGGGCGTTGGGGAAAACACGGGGAACCCGTGCTCTACTTCGGAGCAATACCCCCTGAACCCAGGGTGTGAAGGAGAGAGGTGGACATCGGAAACCACCAAACACAAGATTCACGAGCTCAGAAAATACGTGTCGACCATGACCAACGCGAAAGCGAAAGAGCAGCTGAGAAATTTTCTAGAAGTCTACGCCATGGTGAAGATCTACTTGACGGAGTCTGAGAGGGAAAAGGGCGGAGGCAAACGGGCGTGCAAGGTCACGGAGGTCAAGAACGACCGCCGGTCCGAGGAGAGCCAACATGGCGGAGATGACGCTTCAAACTCTGTGACGCCCATCCTGACGGCTGCCGACAACGCCGGAGAAAGCCAAGACAACCATTGCACCTCTATCGCGGACTCTCTCGCCGCTTGCTTTATAATGAGGCCCCCGAACAAACTAAGGAACAAGTTTGTTTTAACGAAAGATCCATCTCTTGAACGGTTCGCACGTGACAGAGCCCAGTGCAAAGACGCGTTCGAGCCACGCTCACAATTCGCGGACATGGGTACGGTTGGTGAATCTGAGTTGGCCAATGAAGCGTGGTTGAAAATAACGCAATTGAAGGAATGCCTTGAGGAGCTGAAGACAGAGGAGCGACATCTCTTGGCTGGGCAGCGTGCGAAAAAAGTCTATCTATCCCGGAGAAAAAAAGAGCTGCGCAAGCACGAAGGCAACAAGCTGTCTAAACAGTTGGCGAACCGCTTCAAACATCTGAAGCAGCTTTACTACTCCGAGACAATGGCTCTCATCGAGAAGACGAACGAGAAACTTGACGAACTAACAAGCGCCATCCGGGGAGAGCGAGAGGAAGACTTGAAGGCCATCCAGGTCCGGCTTCCTGCCGTGTCCACCATCACGAAGGCGGCAGTTCAGCTCCAGAGCACATTAAATAGGGCACTGATTGGTCAGCTGGCGCGCAGTCCGGAGCTGGGTGGGAGGGATGACCAGCGGGTGTTGGCGACGTTAACCGACGTGAAAAGCTACGTCCAGTCCATGGTGACCTCACTGTGCAGCATGACGAGCTTCGTAACGTCGCTTCCCTGCGACGCGACCCAGGGTCAGCTAATGGACAAGACGCTCGAGAATCTTTTCGTGGAGAAGAAAGCGTCCATGGACGATGTTTGCTGCAGGACATACGCCTTTTATGGTAAGTTGGTGTTGTGTACTCACTTGATGTACACATTTTATGGTAAGTTGGTGTTCTGTACTCACTTGATGTACACCTTTTATGGAAAGTTGGTGTTGTGTACTCACTTGATGTAAGTGTGTACTAACTTGATGTAAGCCTTTATGGTAAGTTGGTGTTGTGTAATAACTTGATGTACACATTTTATGGTAAGTTGGTGTTGTGTACTAACTTGATGTACGCCTTTTATGGTAAGTTGGTGCTGTGTACTAACTTGATGAAATTATATGTGTACATTCATCAATTTTGAAATAAATATGTTGACTGCAAAAAATATAATTTAAAATGGTTTTGCCCCAATTCTGTCAAAGTGAAACCACTTCATGTGGAAACCAATTTCCTTTTCAATACAGAAATGAAAAAATTGACGACCTCTGTCCAAAACTTGGCTCTGGCCTCCAAAGACAAACTGGCCACCTTGAATGCCGTCTCGATGCTGGACACAACATTGTCCTCCTTTCGCAACAACATGACTATCCATCGACTCAAGTGCCACTGTCTCCTGGGCAACTTTTCCACTTCTCCGGATTATCTGCATCCCACCGTGAACTCGCTTCCCCCCACCAAGATGGCGCCATCAGCTGACGTCAGCAACGTGAAATTAGGCGCCAGCGTGTCCTACAACTGCAACGATACCCCGAGTCGCAGCGGTGCGCAGGGGAAAACGCGTTCGGTTGTTGCCAGCCAGAAGAGTGGCGTCTACTGCTCGTACTCCGACACGTCGAATAATGTACAGGGCTCGAATAGAAACACCATGGGGAGCCCTGGCAGGTCACGTGAAGATCACGTGCGGAGGTCGTGTGAAGATCACGTGCGGAGGTCGTGTGAAGATCACGTGCGGAGGTCGTGTGAAGAGCATCAGCGCACCATTCCCGCTAGACACCCCATGATTGGAAAAGAACGCGTGAACACGCCGACATATCACAGCGAGATCTGCTGTAAGAAATCTGGGATTCCCAAATGGGGAAACCAAACGTCTGCTGACCAGCCGTTGTTAGCCCGTCTCGGTGAAAACATGTCTGATTCCGACAGCGTGGACGAGCGGCCGCGTCTCCCGCTCCCAGAAACCAACCCGCTGAACCTCGAATCGCCCAAAAGCGCCACGACCGACGCCACCTCCTCGCCGATCTCATGCTACACATCCTCGGAGGGCGACCTGCGGGACAAGCTGATGGGCTTCACGAACTGGGTGCACGCCGGGGAACATGAATGAGAGAAAGCTGGACACGCGCGGGGAACATGAATGAGAGAAAGCTGGACACGCGCGGGGAACATGAATGAGAGAAAGCTGGACACGCGCGTGGAACATGAATGAGAGAAAGCTGGACACGCGCGTGGAACATGAATGAGAGAAAGCTGGACACGCGCGGGGAACCGATAGGGCGGAGACGGTTTGGAAAAAAGGGCTCTTTGGCAGACGACATTCGCATTTTTTTTTTTAAACTAAGAAGTTATTACCGGTATTCATCGCCTAGGCTCTTCATTGCCATTAAATCATTACATTTAACAAGACAATGCAATTACAAATAATACTACTCCTGAAATTTTTTTAGAGAACGTCTTCTACACATTCAAGAATTTATGATACAACTTTTTTCAGATGTATACACTTTTTTTTTCCCAAGACAAAACACGGAGAAAAATAATTGTGCATGGGTAAATTCAGGCGCGTGTGTCTCTCTGTGTCTGTAAAATGTTTCCCAAGAGTTCAAGCAAGGCGCGTGTGTCTCTCTGTGTCTTTAAAATGTTTCCCAAGAGTTCAAGCAAGGCGCGTGTGTCTCTCTGTGTCTGTAAAATGTTTCCCAAGAGTTCAAGCAAGGCGCGTGTGTCTCTCTGTGTCTGTAAAATGTTTCCCAAGAGTTCAAGCAAGGCGCGTGTGTCTCTCTGTGTCTGTAAAATGTTTCCCAAGAGTTCAAGCAAGGCGCGTGTGTCTCTCTGTGTCTGTAAAATGTTTCCCAAGAGTTCAAGCAAGGCGCGTGTGTCTCTCTGTGTCAGTAAAATGTTTTCCAAGAGTTCAAGCAAGCCTTTACTTTTTTTTGTACCCGTGCTATTGCCACGTGATTCAACGGTCATGGGGAACAGGGGCATCCAACCGTTTTGTTGTTCACCAGCTCTGTACTCTCCAGATGTTTGATTGCGCAGCAACTGCTTAGACACCGCATGGCATTCAATAAAGTTAAAGACAACATCCGCCTCGTGCCTTGAGTGTTTCCTCATTGTTGTCTCTTGTGAAGCCCTCCAGTGGAATGTTCTCTGCGTGTGTGCATTTGTGTGGCGTCACTCCGTACACAAAGGCTCCGTCCAACATGACGGCTACGGAACACCGGCTGCAGAGCTCATCAGACATCACAGAAAAGCCGAAAAGGATCAATGACGGTCCGCCACCACCACTTCACCGCCGCCGTCGGTTTGCCGCCCCTTCACCGCCACCACCACTTCATCGCCACCGTCGGTTTGCCGCCACTTCACCGCCACCACCACTTCACCGCCACCACCACTTCACCGCCACCACCACTTCCCCGCCGCCGTCGCTTTGCCGCCACTTCACCGCCACCACCACTTCACCGCCACCACCACTTCACCGCCGATCGGAAGCGC